CACACACACACACACACACACGCACATACACACACACACATGCACATACACATGAACACACATAATAATAATTATGATAATCGCATTTACACAATGCATATCCTCACTATGCAGCATGCTGTACGGGCTTTACAGCTATTATAACCCCTAGCAGACCCTAGAACACAGAGATAATTCTCAGCTTCCCGGGAAGCATACTGTGCAAGCTGCGGATTGCACGCACTCAAACACTGACAGAAGTGACAGACTAACAAAATATTTCGCTGATTATAGCCGGGTACCCATTCCCACTTGGATGTAGTGAAGAAAACTCGTACAAAGTGCTTTTACCAAAGACACAACGTCGAGCCTTTGACCTAACGGTTGAAAGTGCCAAAGCCTATCCATTAGGCCACCAATGCTACATACACACACGCAAAAATACTGGCGCACAACATGAATCACACATGCTCTCTCACACATCCCAAATGTATACAAATAAACAACTCATCAGATCAATTTTCATGGTCCCTCTGCTACCAAAGTAAAATAACAGTATGTGAAATTAAATGTCTTAAGAAAGACGCTAAACATTACGAGAAGAGACAGCCAAGGAAACGAAGACATCAGACAGACAACAAGTGGGCGTTGAATCGAGCAGGAAATATACAGAAAGACAACTGGCTACAAATAAGGTTGTTTGGACGCTTTATGAGAAATGGGTCACAACAGCCTGTCTCAAAGGTCTACAACATGAGATTCGATTTCTTTAAGGCAAAAGAAAGAACAAGAGAAAAAGATGGATCGACAGAGTCACAGAAACCCTCCAGTTAAACAACATGACGATCCAAATAGCAACACGCCCGGCCCACGTCCAGTAATTTGCACCTACCTTCGACACTTTGCCACATAAGAAGACAGAAAAGATTTTTTTTAAGTAAGCAAGTAAAGGCACGTCTGTATAATTAATATATTTTGTTGTTGTTGTTGTTAGCGACCCAGTAGCATCTAAGCGTTAACTCTTCTGTATGCTGCCATTTTGCAATAGCTGCATGTCTGTTCTAATTGTTGTTTTGAGGAGTAGAGGCAGTTAGATGTATAGGGTAGCTTGGGAAGAAAACATCCCCTTAAATCAGTTAGTTTTTTGGGGGTTTTTTTACAGAAGAACAGATGATGTTCCACTGTCTCTGAGGGGTAGTCACATAGTGGGCAGGCAGCAGACTGTTGAGATGTTGATTGAGGGGTACATGTTGTGTTCTAAGTTGGAAGATTATGGATTGATCTAACCTCCTCAACGCATTGATTGGATCTTTGACCAGTGATTTATTCATGTGGCCATACATCATCCTTCCTGTCGTACCTGTGGCCCAATCGTTCATCCAGTCTTCCTTGAAGTTTGACTTGATCATTTGGCAGCAGGTGGTGTAATCAGTAGGAATATCAGGCTGAGGGAGGCTAGCTCCTTTCTTTGCTAGAGCAAATTAATATAATATATAAATATATATCTGGCACTTGCTGCTTTCACGCAGCCTAGGAATTATGCGATTATGACGACTATAATAGTCAAAGTTGCCCCACAGGTATTTGCATCTTAATATTCCAAAGGAAATCAACCCAAGTTAATGTCACTGTCAGTCTATACATCTTGTTCAGTGACAAAGAGAGCTAATGTCACCATCAGCATATAACGTTATACAGTATGGCATACAAATATTTTGTAATCACCAGTATATTAAGTCATATTTAGTGACGCCCGGAATGTATGTAATCACCATTGTATTACATCATATCTTGTGGCGCCCACAACTTTGTAATCGCCAGTACATTAAGTCATATTTAGTGACAACCAGAACTTATGTCATCATCAGTATATTACATCGTATTTAGTACCACCTGGAATGTATGCAATCACCAGTATATTACGTCATATTTAGTGATGCCCATAACTGATGAAGTCACTAGTTTATTTCGGAATATTTAATGGCATCCAAAACGTATGTAATCACCAGTAATATTACGTCAGACTCAAGAAAAATTCCTTACATTTCCAATACCACTGATTTTACTATTGCTTCTCCAATGATAACGATGCGGTTGGGCAATTTTCCAAAGGAACCAAACAGATTTAAACCTCAACGGCCAAAGAAGTGGGCGAGCTATATGGTAAATACAGAGGAAGGGTAGAGATTGCAGATCCAAATCACAAAGGAAAGGTGGGAAAAGGTGCGCCGTCCTTATTAAGCGCTTATTTCTCTTGTCTTGAACCACGTGACCAAGAGAGACGCAGCCAGAACCCACACACTCCCAGCAGCTGAGGACACAAACAGCGG